GATAACCACCCCAAATCACATTTATTAGGTGTTTTTATGCATATAAATAAACAAAACGACAGTATATGGTGGCCTTGTTGACATTAGATACATTTTTGTCTCCAAGAAGTACCTGGGTACTTACCAACGCAGTTTTACAGAGCCAGCTACTTTTGGAGGAAGTGTAGAGAGAAATTTCTAGACAGAATGAGAGAGACAGCCTGACATTCATTGAAGGCAGGAATTAAATCAGGGACAATTCGGCCAACAGATCAGTAAAAACCAGAAATCAAAATCACGACTCTGTATCAAAGCCCAAAGATCACCCTGATGCCGTGAGAAATCATTTCTAGCCTAAGATATCTGTTTGTAGGTTTTAATATCCCCGAGGGATTTGAGGCCACACCAACTCAACTGACCTTCAGAGTGAATTGCCCATGAGTTTACTGGAGGCGGTATACGGGGTGACGGGGGGATGAGCAACATAGCAGCAGTCCAGGAGAGCAGAAAAAACACTCCCTGGCTGGGTGTGTACAGGATGTCAATTCATTCCAGACTCTTCTCCAACTTGCTAAATGCACCTTGGCAGAGTTGTTTAGCCATCCTGGACCTCGCTCTCCCCATCTGTGAAATGAATGACTGGAACTGGATCATCTCAGGCAGCTCTATGGGTTTTTTTTTTTTCCCCTGTTTTTTTTTGTTTTCAGAAAGAATACTGAAATTTATCGAGAAAACTGCCTATATTGTTATTTTACCATCAGATAAATTGTTCTAGAAGAAAAACAACTCATCAGAGCTGCTTTAAACAAACACATAGCCATCCCGTGGCTGAAAGCAGGCTGTCGTGGGGGGAGGGGGTGTTAGAAAATCTACTTTTGATACAGTTTCTTGTAAACTTGGGCAATTCATCTTCTCTCTCTGAACCTCTTGTTAGTAACAACAGTCTTGAGAAGATTAAGTGTAATAATATATGTGAAGATGGCTTTGGCGAAGTATAAAATGCTACACAGTTGCAAGGTGTTTTATTACTTGCCTGGAGACAGATCACATCCATCAGTAATCCTGCTAACATTCAAGCTACTTTAAGTCTGACCAGACACCCAAATTCCTCTCTGCCTCCCTCACCTGCATACCAAATGCCCCTACAGTGACAGCAGGACCAGGGTTTTTGATTAAGAAAGAAACTTACCCTGTTTTTACCATGGAATATTTATTTTCATCCACTTTGACACCTTAATCTTCCTTTATTATTTTAAGGGCTTAAATATTTTATCAGCACCTGCTTTTGTCTGATGAATTTGTTTGCAACTGGCTGAGCCCTTTAATTGACAATTCTTTCTAAACACTAATGCATTGTAAACCCATTATTTTTTTTTTAAAGATTTTATTTATTTATTTGACACAGAGAGACACAGCGAGAGAGGGAACACAAGCAGGGGGAGTGGGAGAGGGAGAAGCAGGCTTCCCGCGGAGCAGGGAGCCCGATGCGGGGCTCGATCCCAGGACCCTGGGATCATGACCTGAGCCGAAGGCAGACACTTAACCGACTGAGCCACCCAGGCGCCCCTGTAAACCCATTATTTATTGGCTTTTATGCCAAGTAATTTGGCAGCCATTAACTTTTTTTTTTTTTTTGCTTTATTTTATTTAAGGGTTTCACTTGCAGAGTTATGATTGAGTTACAGAATAATCCAGCAGTTCCAGGAGCTCCAAAATGAAGGCACCATTTTAAACGAGTCAACCCACTAAGAAAATGAATTGAAATTTATGACTTTAGAGACCCATGACCTGCCATATTAAACTCAAATAAGTGTGGCATCAGGTGGCACAGTTAGTAGAAAACATAAATATAACACCAGGAACTGTTATAATCATCTCAGACTTCAGCAAGGAAACATGCCTGGACTAGAGTCTGAAGAAGTCCACACACTTCCTTTTCTTTCTCTCTCTTTTTTTAAGATTTCACTAATTTATTTATTTGAGAGAGAGAGAGAGAGAGAGCCTGAGCAGGGAGAGGGGGAGGAGCAGATGGAGAGGGAGAAGCAGACTCCCTCCCTCCCCACAGAGCAGGGAGCCCTACCTGGGGCTTGATCCCAGGACCCCAGGATCATGACCTGAGCTGAAGGCAGATGCTTAACCGACTGAGCCACCCAGGCATCCCCCCCTTCTTTTTAAAGAAACAAGCAAAAAGTCTTTCTAGCTATTAGGTCCCAAAATTCTACTGATGGTCCCGCCTGGAGTCTGTTTACTACCTGTTCCAACAGGAAAATGGTACAGTCACTTTATCCCTTCCTGTTTCTTAGGAAATTCTACCATTTGGGGACAGCCCTAGCTAGAGGCACATGAAGCTCCTTTAAAGCTATCTTTTTGTTCTGGATTTGCAGGATCACATCATTCGGGAGCATGATTGTCAAGTACATTTGTAGCACAGTTGACCAGCTGTTGAGGTGAGGTCTGCAGGTGTCACTGAGAGTCAACATTAACCAGACTCGTCTTGCAGTTACCTTCGGTGAGTCCTTCCTTTGTAATCTGCAGGTGGTTGAAGACAGGGATTTAAAAGTACTTTTATACCAATAAGGGACTCTGAATGGAAACTTGGTCCTCTCCTGCTTACTGCTGCCAAAAGTAAAACTTGCTTTGATTGTCTACGACGTAAGTAGGCATCCCTGTAAATTGTTACTTGGTTGCATTGACATCAAAAGTCAGTTTCCATTTTTGTTCTTTTTCTTTCCATTTAACTGTGAAAATTTACAGTACCGTTCTTCTAAGCCACGATCCAAACAAGCCAGATAAAGGTTTCTCTTCCTTCTTTCCTTCCTTCCTTTTCTTTTCTTTCTTTCTTTCGTTCTTTCTTTTTTCTTTCCTTCTCTCCTTCCTTCCTTCCTTTTTAATTTACTTATTTATTTGAGAGAGAGAGAAAGAGAGCACAAGTGGGAGGGACAGAGGGAGAAGGAGAGAGAATCTGAAGCAGACTCCGTGCTGAGCCCGGAGCCCAATCTCACGACCCTGAGATCATGACCCGAGCCGAAACCAAGAGTTGGCTGCTTAACCAACTGCGCCACCCAGGCGCCCCAAAGGTTTTTCTTTTTCTGTATGGAATATATTATGTGCCAAGAATTTTGTATGAGTGCATGTTATATGTTTGTTTATTTTCTGACATCCCCACTATTACTCTAGTTCCATGGCATGAGAGAATTTGTGTTCACTACTATATTCCCCAGTGCCTAAACAGCATTTGACACAGAAAATACTCAATAACATTTGTTGAATTAACAAATGAATGAGTCCCAAACAAGGCATGTTGAGACTCATATACTGTCAAAGTAGTGGCTAATTTGATTCTTCCTTCCTCCCTCCCTCTCTCTCTTTCTTTCTTTTCATTCTTTCTTTTCTTTCTTTCTTCTTTCTTTCTTCTTTCATTCTTTCATTCTTCCTAAATAATTTGTAATAGGAGATGGGCACCTAGATGGCTCAGTCAGTTATGCATTGACTCTTGATTTCAGTTCAGGTCATGATCTCAGGGTTGTGAGATCGAGCCCCACATCGGGCTCGGTGCTCAGCAGGGAGTCTGCTTGAGATTCTCTCTCTCTCTCTCTCTCCTTCCCCCTCTGTCTCTGAAATAAATAAATAAATCTTTAAAAAATAATAATTTGTAATAGGAGTAACGACACAAAGAGGGGTAGGATTTTTTTTAAGTTAATCATCTACCCCCTCTATACTACACTCCCCCTAAGGAATTCAATGTAATATATTTTTCTATCCCTTTCACATGTCCACAATGATATATCATAATATATACAGATTTCCTTCCTTCTTTCCTTTCTTCCCCAATCTTCTGCTTTCCTTACTTCTCTCTTTCTAACATTTACTCTGAAGTACCTTTTTCCCACTTACTGTAACACAGATTTCCCTCCAGTTAGATAGAAATAGATCTAACATTGGTCTTTCTTTCTTTTTCTTTTTTCTTTTTCTATAACATTGGTCTTTCTAAGGACTGAATAGAGAAATACTTAAATTAATGTAACCATTCTTTTTTTTAAATATTTTTTTTACTTTTTTATTGTTATGTTAATCACCATACATTACATCATTAGTTTTTGATGTAGTGTTCCATGATTTATTGTTTGTGCATAAC